GTGACAAATGACTTTGTAGCACTATTAACACACCCGACTCAGGAGCCTAAAAATTTTAAATACTAAACAGATGTTCAGATACAATTGCTGATGCCAATGGATCATTCCCAGAAATCTTTCTATTCATGGAAGATGTTTCTGGAAATGATGAATTGTCTGGTGTTTATAACCACAGATTCATCACAAGGATAAAAGGTAAAATATTTGCTCCTCAGTTTGAAGTTTTAGTATGAGTCCCTCCAGTCTTTGCTACAAGCTGGACACATTTGACATGTTACAGGCATAGTTCCTTTCAAATGTTGCACTTTGAAATGAAATAAACAACACAAAATTAAACGCTAAACTAGGCATGAATGAACTAAGACATCCTTTAAGCATCACGAGAGGCTCAGCATAGGATGCTTAACATGACCACTGACTTTGAGAAATCTCCAAGTACCATAAACAGAATGCTGAAAGCTGTTTTTTCCAAGCAGATTTCTCATGGCTCCAATTTCACTGCTCACAGTATAAATAGGTGCTCAAATTCAGCTCCAGCAGCTTACATTGTCAGGAAAAGTGACAGAGTTTCTGATTATCTTAACAAGCTTCTCTTGGTGGCTTCTTGAACCAGACTGTCATCTGTTATGGGGTTTGAGAGAGATTTGATCAACACAAAAGCAACTTCTTTCCAACTGCTAAAGATCTCATGAATTCTTGTCTATTTACAGTGTTATATATTGCATCACAACTGAAAAAAACAAAAAAGGTATAGATTTCTCAACCACAGCTGCTCCAATTCTCAGATAGATGGAAAGTTAGTAAATAAAATATGGTTTCCCTTTCCTCTCCTCCCCAATACCTAATATTTGCCTTTTTTCCATCTGTAAACAAATAGTCAACTTCTAATAGCTAGTCAAATCATTTTAAAAACCAACCAAGTCAAAGATAATCATTGCATTCAGTTTGAAAATCTTTGAGTAGTTCTTCATGCAGGTGTGGTGACAAATCCCTCCCTGAGTGCCCAAGGAGAAAATGGGCATGGGCTGAAGCAGCCATCCACCAGGCGCCGAGGAAACCCTCCATGGCACGCTCAGCAGGGACACAGCTGCCAGGCACACTTCCAATGAGCCATGAGCTTGCAATCCTGCAGATTTCACATTCTGCAGGCCTGGTAACTTTGCCTTAATGGAGGGGGATCTGTGGTTCACTTGTCCTCATACAAATTTTGACCAGTCCTACCTCAGGAACACTGTGTAAATATTTAACAGCATTGGTGAAGAACAGCCCAGTAAGTTTTTGGCTCAAAAGCCTTAGTGATCACCATGCATTAGGAGAGTCTGTTTTTCTTCAGTGCATGAAATGATTCATCTGGAAGTCCTTCTCTAGTGCTCCTCTGCAGCACAGTTCCCTTTCTGAAATGACCTTATAATGAACTGCAAATGAATTTAAAAGGGAATGTAGGTTTGTCTCTATCCTTCATCATTTTTGCTGCAACAAACAACTATGTTTCAGCATTTTTTTGCTGCAAACACAGTTGTGGGCATTCTAGAGAAATCTTCAAAATTAACTTTAGAAGTTCAGATGTTCAGCCATGGCAAGTAAACCACATAAGCAACAATGCAGAATGTTATGCTCAATTAATAAAGTGTTAAGAGCAATATATATGTATCTTTTTAATAAAAGTTTATGTGGTACATTTTATTTACCAAAACATTTTTTTAAAAATCTCCCTTGATTCTTCACAGTATCTCTTTCTAGTGTTCTAGCAATGAATTCTATGAATTACAGTGGGTGTGGAGAACAGCTAATGGAGTAATTCATCTAATAGGTAAGGGACTAGCCAACCAAGATCCTCCGTGGACACACTGGTGAACATCATGATCCAAGAGACATTTTCTCTTTCTAAACTTGTGAACTAATGTAAACTTGTGTACTGCAGTCACAGAAGTGCTATCCAAGCAGTTAAGGATGGGAAAACATCATGATGGAGACCCAGGACCTACCTGAAAAACAAGACAAACTGTAGCAACACAGAAAACTGCATCCAGCCAGTTTGAAGGAAGAGCAAGGAAAATTTCTGAATTAAAAGCATAGTAACTTTTTGTATAAGGAACAAAGCACATCTGCCAGCTTCTAATCAGAATAGGTAAAGCACGTTTCTACAGCAATAGATTTTTGTCACACTAGGAATACTTTTGTGTACTAGATGCAAATAAAAGTTAGCAGTTCTAGACAGTGAACGATCTGCATTTGTGAGCCCAAACTTACATGGAAGGCTTGTCAACTTATACTACTACAGTCATATTTAGTTGTTACATGACATAAACTAAACCACTAATATTTTTAGTCTTTCCTTTTGAATTTAGCACTAATTTAGCATATGTGTGTCATCACAACATGTATCTCAACTACTCAACTAAAATGGACAGATAAAACCTGAGATCTGAACAACTTATTTGACACACTTTGGTATTGTTTCTACGGTCCTCAGTTTTAGTGTAATTTCCATAACTATGAAGAGAGCAAAGAAACTCCTTTGCAGTACAGAAAATCCTAGTGCTGTGAAAAAAAGTGAAGTTTGTCAGAAAATCCAGCTGCATACTATAATTTGAGGAAATATAAAGAATATTGAAAGCAAGCTACTGATGTAGCCACGGATTGGACAATTACAGTAAACTGCAGAAAAATACCAGGAGGAGGTACTGAACACTAACAACCAATATCCCACAGTGTAATGGGTTCAAAACAGCTCAAGTTCAATTTCTCAGACCCAAACTGATATACCAGGATATGGGATATATGAATACACATAGGAAACACCATCTTCTAACACTTTGTATCCCACTTGCTCTGCTGAGAAGTACTGTGTGTCCTGCTATGAACCATGATGCAAAAAATAAAAATAAGACTTCCAGAAGATCACTATACATTTAAAGACAATAAAACTTTTTTTTCTTCTAATTGAATAGATATGTTATTAATACTCCTCGGGCCTGTAAGAAAATACCTCAAGCACCCACACTTGAAAAGGGATGGAACACAGTGTACTCATATATAATAGTGTAACTATTTTAGAACACTTCATGCAGCAAGAGACAAAGAATGTGAAGTACATCATTACAATAATTCATGGTACCTAGCAGTTTTGTTCTATGCTCCTGTACTATGCTATTAATTTAAGTTTGTTTGAAAGACAAACTTCTGCATTTTGAAGTCTGAAGTGGTGTCTATAAAATATTATACAATGTAATATGCTGCATTGCAACAGAGGTGTTATCAAGATACCAAAAAGGAGCTATACTTTCTTGAGTCTAACTTTCACAATGTAATTAACAAAGGCAGCAGCCTGGTATAGTTAATAAATCACAGCACAGATCTATACAACTGTCATTACAAAAAAAAAAAAAAAAAAAAATAGTAACTGGTAAGACCATGATGAAAAGACAGTCAAATGCTTGGCAGTTCTTTTCCAGAGAAAGAGAGCTTTCAAAGACAATAAGAAAATGATAAAACAATTCACCTCAATTTGGAACAAGTGTTGAAATTAATTATTTCTAGAACAATGTGAGGAACAATTAGGTTTTTTAATGGGGAGAAAAAACACATTTAAAAGGCTTCTAGGCTTACATTCTTCCCACCAAAATTAGTTTTAATCTGATATTAATACAGAAACTTATATAAATATCCAATCTTATTTTGATTTAAGGGACCTTGGCATTTCCACTTAAAGTAAGCAGTAACCTATTAGACATGGAAATTTTGTAAATGCCATATTGTAAATTGCCAACAATTTTGCATTCTTAATTTACTATTTTGACACTCATTAATATAATTCAATATAAACACCACTATTTTAAATTTAATATTAAAAGAAATCTTGGCAGTAAGCTATTAAATGCAGTTCATTGATACAATTCTGACCAAAGTTCCTCTTAGTTTTGGTTTTGTTTTTTTTTTAATTGTACATTCCTCAGTATTTTTAAATTCATTTATGTATCTTAAATTTGTATTAATTTTCACAGATTGCTGAGTACCACGAAGGAGACTCCCTGTACCACGGAACAAAAAAGTTGCTGTCCAAGGTACTGCACATAAAGACAAGTGTTCCAATTAATCTCTCAAATGCATTAAAAATGTTTCCAGATTTATTAGCTTTCCTCAGCAAGCAAGCTAGTCTTGTTGAAATTCCTTATATGATACTGCAGTATCGGTGTTATGCTGTTACTTTCCAGGGCCTCTTCTACTGCATTCCAGTATGATCAGACACTCCAGCACCTGACAATAGCCAGTATGTATAATTAGGGACAAACCTGTTCTATTCTTTGTTACAGACTGATTTTCAGCAGGGCTGAAATACAAAAAAAAAAGTCTTTGAATACTACATGGTTCATGAATAAAAGCTACCTTCTAATATATATCTAGCTCCCACGTACTGTTCTGGCATTCTGCAGAGTAATCACTTAAATGTAATTTTATCTGCAGTATTCACCTTACATATCTCAGAAGCATAAAGATTCACACATTCATGCAGGACATAGCAAATAGCGTCCTGGGCTTAATTGCTGCTTCAAAAAATAACCACAGAGTATAAGAAAATTAAATACAATTTTTGTTTCTTTTGTTACGATTAATAGGAGAAGCGTATTTCTAATTTGCAAGGCTAAAAAAATGCAACAGCCAAGAACTGCAGTAAACCTCTCAGAGCTAATAGCAATATCCAATAATGCTTTCCCACACCATCTTCGAGTAAATGGATTTAATTCACTGCTTAATCAGTCAAATTAACACTAATCCCCATATGGTTAGAAAGGACGTTTCTTAACAAACCCGATTTATGATTTATTTATTTGCGAAGTGTCTTAAAGCTGAGATGCCTAGAAGAACTACTGTGTTAATTCACTCATGCTGACAGAGCTGGTTTCACCTAAGAAATGATCTCTGCAATTCACAGCATGGCTGACAGCTATCTGCATAGAAAAGCAGCACAGTAACCATTTAAATCATGCAAAAACACTCACCCAAGAAGATGTAGCAAAGATGAGGATCCAGCTTCCAGACCCCATGAAGCTGAGGGAGCAATCCAGCAGCTTGCTCGGGCCAGCAGTGTCTCTCCTACACTTGACCTAGACTGCCTTACATAATGAGGAAGTAGTGCTGTATCCTGTGTGGAGGAGCAAGCTGAATGTCATCACTGGCAGAAGTAGGGAGAACTGGGAGCAGGCAGGCTGGTAGTTAGCATGGAGATCACGAAGTCTGCTCTCCCTGACTGTTCTGGGAGAAAGCACAAGAAGAGCTCAGAAATGCTGGTGTCATTCCTGCCCTGGAACGAATGACCGGAAGCAGTGAGGGTGTTACAAATGCGAGGCAGCAGCAAGGCTGGAGCTGCAGCTGCACCTGCTCGCAGGCAGCACAGCTCCTGTGACAGCGCCTGCAGGACTGCCAGGACTGCAGCTGCCCGGACAGCAGGCACCGACACACACTGCCCTGCACAGCCCTGCCTGGACACTGCTTACTCGGGTGAGTAGCAGGAAAGCACTGGTAGAAGATAAAGTCTGGGATTAATCTCCAAAAGGAATTGCTATTCCCTCTAATAGATCTTACTGCATGCAGGTTAGTTTCTGGAAAGTAACCATTTTTTACCTGTTGTACATGGTGTTACAGGGGTTAAACTGCTTCTATTACAGAGGTTTGATTTTTCAAGAAAATGATGGGTAAGATACATTCTCTGCTGTGAAGATATTTACAGTCATTTCTGGTGTTTCTTTGCTTCTGTTTTGTTTGGTTTTTTTCTTGAGAGAAGCCTTGGTATATTTTGTAGTTTACTACTGTTTGGGTCATATCAGCACTTTTCTGCAGGGCACAAAAGGAGAAAAAAGTATTCAAGCTTGGCCAGCTATTAAAAACCTACACAACCTTGTTTAAAAAAAGCACTTTATATAAATTAAAACTACTGCATATAATTTGTATTCCATCATTTATTTCATTTTAATGATTCAATAGTTACTAAAGAGCCTTAAATACATATAATGCATATACACATTATTCTTGAATAAATATTTTGATTGATAAAGTTTCTCTTTAGAAAAGAAGGCAAAGGTTTCACTAAGATGTTTTGTGGTTATATTTGAAACTGCTTGCTTAGATGTGATCAAGAGTAAATGCAACTGGACATAAAATTCTGTGGCAACATTAGAAGTCAGGTAAAGAAAAGTTTTAAGTCTCAATGTGCAACACTGACAGAAGTCAGGTTAGGTGCAGACTTTATTAATATTAGCTATGTCCTTAGACTAAACATGATTTGAGCTCTGATCTCAAAAGGGAAAATCGAGGTGAAAGAGATAAAAATAATCCAAATTTTTGTCTTCCAAATCTATTTCCTTTATATTCTCCTTTTGAGATGAACTTACAATGACTTTTCTATCAAATTTGATCAGGCAAAAAAAGTGCTTGGTTTTCACTGGTTTTTGAAATATATATTTTCATTGTCTCTTGTTGAATGCTTTCCTTTTTCCATTCATGAGAATTAAAAAAAAAAAAGGTAAAAGGAAAAAGAGAAAAAAATCAGAAGCATTTGAAATACAAGGAAGATCACTAATAAGCTAGTAAGACATACAGTTAGCATGCTTGAGTTAAGAATGTGGAAAAAAACAAAAACCCAAGAAAAATACAATTTGAGAATGATTTTTGAAAAACAAATATTTCTGTATTTGAAATCAGTAACTGTTTCTCCAATCTTCAGAAAATAACATTACAAATACCTTGGAGCATTTACTTTTTCCATGTATTGGTTTAGACTCCTAATGTGGAGTCCCTGTTAAAACTTTTCATAATTTGTATGTACCAACCTCTACTTTCGGTGTGTTTCAAGTGTTAAATAAGAATGCTTGCTTTAGAAAAAATCTGTTTACATACTTGGCCTGGGTTAATCAAGAGTTGAAAATATCATGACCTGTATTAGGCTTTGGAAATACACAAGGACGGTGCAAAACCAGCAATTCTGTTGGTCATGGCACTCCAAACAGCAAAGCAGACAAAGTGCTCACCTAAAGCAATTTCAAGTGTCTCCACATCCATGGCACTGAACAGGACAGTCTGACTAGAGATAACCAAATGCTGACTGCATCAGGTAGAAAAATAAAGAAAGTTCATCGATAAACTACAGGTTACCCAACCCAATACACAGAAATTGAGTACAAAAGGTGACATACCTAAATGAACAAAATGCAAATTTGGCTGGCAGCATTGCAAAGGCCATATACAGTTTGTTTGATGTTGCAGTTCAGGCAAACTTGTCTAAGTTGATACAGCTGATTCCATCTTTGGGCTAAATGATGAACTGGATATTCCTTCAAAGTTTTCCAATCTCATTTTCTATGGTATTTCCTATAACAGTGTACCCAACCAGAGGACAACCTCATTGCAGTCTGTTCTCAAGAGGATAGATTAAGCCAGTGTAATAGTTTGCAAACATACACCTGAAAGCCACAGCTTTTGTCTGGAGTATAAATACTTTTTACTTCTCTCAGGTAGCAGGCAAATTGCTCTTCCATTGAGCCACAGTACTTTTCAGTTTACGGTAACTCCTATAAGCATTTTTCCTTGGGTTTGATCTGCAAGCAAGTCAAGACCATCTAAACACAAATTGATACAGAAATTGCTGACATGTAGGACTTTCAGCAAAAGACTTTTTCTGACCCAGCTGCACTGGTAATGTGAGTAGTAATGTCTAATGCCTGAAGCGGTAAGAAAATAAATCAAGTTTATATAACACTCAACTAACAAAGTAATTATTCTGATACCTCAGCAAATAGAGGGTCAAAGTAAATAAAGTAAATGCAGTTTGAAAAAAAATCCTTTTAAAAATCTTTTGAAAAAGTCTTTTGGAAATGACTGCAGAAAAATCTGCTGTTTGGAAAAGAATGGACTAGATAACCCCTCATGAGGATGGAGATAAAAATATGTATGTTCGGGGGCTTAATGTAAGGAGGAAAAAAACAAGCTAAACTCTTGCCACACATGTTACAAAGTTAATGCTAGTCATTATCACAGAAGACTGTAAGCCTATGAAACAAATTCTGGAATTTTTCTTTTATGGAAAATACGGTAACAGAGGTTTGCAGTGCTTGCCACTAAATTTCCCTTACTTGCTGAGCTTATTTCCACAAGATCCTTTCTGTCCCATGCTGAAATGAAGGAAGCAGTATCTCATAGACCTTACTCCTGCCAACAACCTTGAGTAAACAGGGCTTTTTTTTTAGACACCTTTCTCTTAGATGCCTTGCACATAAATAAATGATTGCTTGAGGTTTGCTCATACTAATATAGATTCCATTTGGGATCTGCTGAAACACTAAAATGCTTTGGTATCAGTGACTGGAGAGACAACTTCAATATCTTGTGGTGCAGGTTTTTGGCGTTTTTTCTGTCCTTCTCTGACCTTTCTTTCTTTTCTCAAAATAATTTATCCCTTGTGTTCCTGAACAACCTGCACAAGTGAGTCATGCTGAAATGTGTAAACAATGGCTCAAAGTCTTCAAAAAATGAACTCCTGTACTTAGACTCAATAATACCTGGTCTTATAAATGGAGAAAGAGGGGGATTGCTTATAGGAGTCCTTTACCCAGGACTCTCTGAAGACTTTTGGCCATTTCTCTCCATTTGCTACTTCTGCAAACAAAACCTATAAATGTGTATCACATACCTCCCTTTTCAAACAGGCAGCTAAAGCTTTTGATTTCTTTCTTCAATATTACTGTCTAGCAGCTCAAGACCTCAATTTACTCTGCATATATTTTTTTATTATTTGACCTGGTCATATCACAATGAAGACCACTGGAGGACTAGTCAAAGAGGAATGTTTTTCTCCTTTAGTTGTCTAAACTTCCTGATATCTAACTAATGCCAATATTCAGAGAGGCAGAAGAATATTTCTAAATACCCTTTTGTCCTTAAGGTATCATATACCTTACCACTTGCAACTGAATTAAACAGCATTTTAAAAAGCAGTCATATTTTCAAACATCTTAGATGTTAAGATGTGTCAATGTTTTCAAGTCTCCTTTCCTTAGTATTTGACAATATTTAGTACCCCACAAATTTACAGGATGGTCCCTGATTTTCCTCCAAATGATTAAGTATTCCAGTCATGAAAGGTAAACACTGATGTCTTGAATTCTTCTATTCCTCAGATAGGTAACACTTATTTTGTAATTTTGTACTCACATGCTGTTTCTGATATTTAACAATATACATTATCCCAGAAAATAGCTGAAAAATTATAATCCAATTAAGCATAAAAACCTACAATTAAACTATGAACATTAAATAGGTCAAGGTCACAGTAATCTTAATATTCATGGACTGTTCTTTCATTTCTCTTTGACATCTCTTCCTCTACAATAAAACTAGCTATGATAGTATTTTAAATTCCTTTTCAAGATTCTTTGTAAGATACATAGGGTTGCCTATTATACCTCTGAGAGTGTCTATAAACTGATTTCCCAAGCGACTATTTTTGTACTTATCTCATAAAAATAAAAAAAACTGCTGTTTTGCATATTAATACTAAAAGAGAATGGCAAAAGTAGGAGGAAAGAAAGAAGTTGAAAAATGAAAAAGCAGTTAATTAACCATTCAATAAATATGCCTATTTATTTTGAGCAAATGAATGATCTTTATCAACTGAAAATAATTACTACTGGCAGGCTTTTCTGTTGGATTTTCTTCTGTCACTGATTCCAGGATGTTGAATTTAGATTTTAATTATTTTTAGCATGTCCCTAAATTAGCTTTTATGAGCTTAAGAGCAAGAAAGGAACCACACTTAGTTTTGGAGATTAAGTTAAGTTGTCAGTCATCCATCAGAACATTTCTAGAAATTGTAGTTGTAGTACCTTGAATTCCAAGCCATTATTGATGCCTAAGAAGAGTATCAGGCAAAACAGATTTATAGTTCAGCATAATGAATGTACCATTAGCACTAAAAGCAATAAGGTGCCTTTTTTTTTCTTTTTTTTTTTTTTTTTTTCCCCAAACCCCTCCTAAATAGCCCTCAGCACGCACCATTTGTGATATTGATTTAACACAGATGCAGAACTGGCTAACACAAAATCCTGAAGGACCTACTACAGCGAACACGTTCACAAGACTGGTTATCCCCTCTAGCAACACATGAAGATGCAATCAGTACTCACATTTAGCTAAAAGGCATAAATTCATCACTTCAATTTCATTCTGGATCCAAGTACCTTATTTTTGTCTTTCTTTAATTGACACGAGCCCAGACCAGTCAAACAAATTATATTACTTTCATTAAATTTTAATTTTTCAAGTCTTTGAAATGTCTATATTTTTGGGAAGAAAAGAAAAATAATTCAGATGTAGTTCTTTATAGAAAAGTGATACTTCTTGTATTT